AAAAAAAAAAAAAAAAAAAAATTAAACAAACATGATGATGTTAAAGAAGAGAGAAGCTGCTTGCTCAAAAATGAAAAGTTTTGAATCTTCTTTTTTATAATAACAAGATGTTAAAAATGATATAAATGGTTAAAGTGAAGAATAATCTATTAAAAAAATACTTTATTAGTTCTGTCACTAAAGTGGCCCAGCATTAGTATCTACCTGGCATCCGTGTGGACAGTCTGTTATGCACCTTGATGACCAGACAATTAATACTATTCTCCACCGAAAGGAACCAGGACTTTTTTAATGTGTTAGGAGAAGGAAAATCTAAAATAGGCTCCTGTTAACACAGCAGTCCTGAGACTGCCTATCCTTAGGAGGCCTGCTTGCAAGGTTGGCGCTTGGCTGGCAAATAGCTCCCTGTGCTGATATCAAACTTTCCTATATGTTGAGTGCCTCACTGGGCCCTAAGCTGTCTGTACAAACTGTGGTTTATGTTGAACATCCACTTTCATTCTGGGAGTCTGGAATCTTGGTACATGCCAGACAGAGGGTGCCTACGTGACCAGCCTTGGGTGCTGAGTCCCCAGAGAGCTTCTCTGGGTGACAACACACTGCACGTGTTGTCACAACTCATCGCTGGAGGAATTAAGTGTGTCCTATGAGACTCTACGGAAAGGGGACTCTGGAAGCTGGCCCCTGGTTCCCTCCAGACTTTGCCCTGAGTGCCTTTAACCTTTGCTGATTTTGCTTTGTGTCCTTTCACTGTAATGAATCTCAGCCCTGAGCATGACTATATGCCGGGTCCTGTGTGTCCTTCCAGCAAATTACTGGGCCTAGGAGAAGTCTTGGAAATCCCAACACAGCCTGGAACATATTTTTTTAAGAAAACGAGTACTGAGGCAGTACTAGAAGGACACAGGAGACACAGCAGATAGTTTTTTTCGTTTTTGTTTTTTTAATTTTATTTATTTATTTATTTATGGCTATGTTGGCTCTTCATTTCTGTGTGAGGGCTTTCTCTAGTTGCGGCAAGCGGGGGGCCATTATTCATCACGGTGCGCCGACCTCTCACTATCGCGGCCTCTCGTGGCAGAGCACAGGCTCCAGACGCGCAGGCTCAGTAATTGTGGCTCACGGGGCTAGTTGCTCCGCGGCATGTGGGATCCTCCCAGACCAGGGCTCGAACCTGTGTCCCCTGCATTGGCAGGCATATTCTCAACCACTGCGCCACCAGGGAAGCCCAGCAGATAGTTTTAAAGTCCTCTCACTTGTTGACAATTTGAGCAACCAAAAGAAAACAACTGAATTAAATGAATAAAAAGGCATTAAAATATAATTAAACCTAAAAGGAGGAAAATATTAAGGGTTCTAAACGTTAGAAACATATGAATTTTTTAAAGGCTATATATTGATCAGTCCAAATTATATGACTTCTATCCTCAAGTTCCAGTAAATATCTAGGTTGGTAATCACCAATGCAAGCTAAAACTCTAAAGAATAAAACCAGAGTACTAAATAAATGCAATGCTTACACTGTTAATTCTAAATAAAAATGTATTAAAGTATAAAGAGTGACTACCCAAAAAATAGAGTCTTTTTTTTTTAAGATTTTTTTTTTTTGATGTGGACCACTTTTAAAGTCTTTATTGAAATTGTTACAATATTGCTTCTGTTTTACATTTTGGTTTTTTGGCCCCGAGGCATGTGGGATCTCAGCTCCTCAACCAGGGATCAAACCCACACCCCTGCACTGGAAGGCAAAGTCTCAACCACTGGACCACCAAGGAAGTCCCCACAAACAGAGTCTTAAAAACCAAGGTAAATATAAATTGACAAGATGGAAGCTAAATCAAACTTTCATATATAATCTCAAAACCAAATTATTTATACCTTTTCCATTCATCCCCAAACAATAAAATGATACATTCATTTTTTCTCACTGAGGACTGTGTCATGTAACTAACAAAGGTGACCAAGGAGCCATTTCCAATAACGAATTTTTCTGCAATCAAATAACCCATCTTTACTTGTGATATGATTTTAGACTCATTATTTATATCCATGATATAGAGATTAATAAAATTCAACCTGTTACACTGCCTAAATACAATCACCTACACATTCTTAATAATAGTGGGTAGCAAATATATACATTGCTCAAAACTCAGAGAATGGGACTTCCCTGGTGGCACAGTGGTTAAAAATCTGCCTGCCAATGCAGGGGACACGGGTTCGAGCCCTGGTCCGGGAAGATCCCACATGCCGCAAAGCAACTAAGTCCGTGTGCCACAACTACTGAGCCTGTGCTCTAGAGCCCGCAAGCCACAACTACTGAGCCCGTGGGCCACAACTACTGAGCCTGCGCTCTAGAGCCCCTGCGCCACAACTACTGAACCCTGCGTACCTAGAGCCCATGCTCCACAACAAGATAAGCCACTGCAATGAGAAGCCCACGCACCACGATGTAGAGTAGCCCCCACTCGCCGCAACTAGAGGAAGCCCACGCACAGCAACGAAGACCCAACGCAGCCATAAATAAATAAATAAAATTAAAAAGAAAAATTTACATCAAAAGAAAAAATATAAACAAATATTGAACTCTAGGTAAATGATATTCATGCTGAACTAATTAGGGGGAAATGTATTGATATCTGTACTGATTTTGAAATACATGAAAAACAAGATGTATTGATGCAGGGATAGAGGGATGCAGGGACGGATATATATGTAATAGGGAAGTACAGTAAAATGTTAGTGATAGAAGCTAGGTGATGGGCATCTAGGTGTTCACTGTAAAATTATTTCAACTTTTCTGATTGTTTGAAAATTTTCATAATAAAATGTTAGAAAAAATAACAGTGTATGGGGCGGGGGTGGGTTGTCAGAGAAGTTCATCTAATAGACATGTCTGGAGGATGAATTTTCTGTGAGCTTTCTATCTATCAAAGAACAAAAATTGCATGAGATTCTTCTGATAACAGAGGTGGGACTTGAGAGAAATAATACAACTGGACTTTGACTAGCAGTCTTCCCCACACAATATCAAGGAGCTGCCAACCAAAAACACTAGGGAGAGTTAACTAATGATAGCTGGCTCCCAAATTGGGCAAAATCCACTTTGCCCAGGTGGATGCCATCAGGGTCTGCCAGTTAAGTGTGTCCCCGAGGGACCAGGCAGACTCCCAGCCCCTTAGCACTTCTGAACAGCTGGGCACACATTCCCTCAATAGCCCTTAGGTGTGTGGTACTGATGAGCAAAGGCCTCGGACAAGGTTATCTCTAAGCTCTATTTAAATGCCTAATGACCCATTCGCAGCCTACTTGCTTTAGGACTGAGAGGCTCTAGAAGCCCCAAGCCCTGCTTACCTTAGTTCTGAGCCATCATCTCTGACCAGGAAAGGGAGACAAGGAGTGCATACTCTCTTCTCTCACTCACCTTCAGTGGGATCTGTGGGAATCTCACTTTCCTCTGGCGCTGCCTGGTCCTCTGTATTATGGTCCCCTTCTGGCTGAATCTGAGATAAGACATCAGGTTGATTCATGGCATAATCTAGGAGAGGAAAATGGGAAAGAGGGTATGACAAAGTGATAAATGAGGATGACAACTAATGGCCATAAAAGCTGAACTGAAGGCTGTGAGGTGCACAGGCCCAGGGAATTTCTTTTAGAGTCTAGATCACCTCCCCCCATCCATTCACCTCCAACTATGGACGCTATCTATTAGGAAACAGGTAAGAGGAGAGGTGAGGTGTGGGAAAGGCACATGTGCTACTTGGGCACCGCCTGCTACTTCCATCGAGTAAGAGTGAGTGTGCCTCAAGGAGGAGAGGCAAGGCCCTTTCAAAGTGAAGGATACCATGGAAACCACTGCAGCTGGCACACCCATAACCCATAACCTTGAACTTCATTCTCTGTCCCATGATTTGGCAGAAGGAGAGATCATGATTTCCTATTTAGCAAGGGTGAACTGGAAATCTTTCGCTTGGAACCAGAAGTGTGTGAGGACAGAGTGAAAATGAGGACACTGGAGGAAAAGGGACCATTCTGGGACTTCATGGAGCTGCTGTCACCTCATTCAAAAGGTGCCAACTTAGCCTCACCCATGGAAATGAGAGACTCGTAGTTGCCCTTCATGATATTCTTGTAAAGTTCCTTTTGCCATTCTTCTAATTTTTCCCACTCTGGAGTGGAAAAGTAGATGGAGATGTCATCAAATGTCACAGGCACCTGAAATTACAACACTGGGGTTAGTTTCTCTCACTGCAATTTAACCATTCAATAAATCTCTTCTAAATGCCTACTAGTTACAAAAAGACCTATGTGAGATGCTGAAAGGATACAGGCAACATTTAAGACACAGATCTAACCTCCAAGAGTTGACAGTGTTTTCACTGGGATAAACTTTAGGGCTATGAGTTCTAGGAGAGTGTAAACAGTCACTCATAGAGGTAGGTACAAATGCAAAGCAGGATTTGATTCACAGAACTCTACATATTGTGAATATCCATCAAGTACAAGGCTTATCCTAAGCACCAAGATTATCAATATATCGTTTCTGCCTAAAAGGAGCATATGACTATACTCAAATTAATGACATGGACAAGAAATTTTGGAAACAGAGCTATAATGGGGTTGGGATGAGTCTAGAAAAGATGGGACTTTGGCCAGTCCTAAAAGACAGGTAGGTTATAAACAGGCCTAATGTGAATGGGAAGAACATTTAAGCATGGAACATTGGAGAGTGCATTCAGAGAACAGTTATAGATTCTGCCTAGTTGGAGTCAAGGTTTTATGAAGGAAACGGTCATATGCAGAACAGAATTCTCCCACCTTCCAGCACCATTCTGTCTAAAGCTAGGAGCTAATCCACAGGCAAATGGATATGTTTCTCTGGAAAGAAATACAAGAGTTGCCTGGGGAATTAAGGGACCAAGTACGGGCACTATCCCCTAGAGTGAAGCTCTTCTCCTTCTGCCATCGGCATAACGGCTAGCTCTTCCTTTTCCTGCCTGACAGCTTTCAACAGTTTTATTCTTAAATATGAGCTTATTTCTAAGTATCAGTAACCATTTAGAGAAATCCTGCCACATGATCAAGAAACACTAAAATAAAAGGAGGGAAAAAAATAACTGTGGAAAAAATAGAAATACCTAGGCAACAGAATTTTTTTAAATACCTTAATTAGTAATCCCATAAAGATTCGAGAGATATTAAACCCATAAAATAAAAACAGGATGCTACGGGAAAAGAAATATCCAAGAGCAAGAAAGACTCCGCGTGACTAATATATATACATATACTTTTTTCCCCAAATTAAAAAATTCAATAAAAAGATACTCATCTTCATAAACTTAACATATCCTTTAAAATACAAAGGTCTATACAATTCTATGAGGCAATTAATTTCTCTCTAATTGCTTCATTTGTGTCATCTTTTCTTCCCCAACCATAAATTTTGTTCCTTAGGAGCTAGAACCATAAATTATTCATTTTACATCCTGCTCAGCATCTAAAACCAACTGAGGCAAACGTAGATGCTCAATAGTTAATTTTTTATCTAATCTCACTACACAAAAGATTTGTAATAGCTTACCAAAGAAACACATGTGATAAAATAATGACAAAAATAAAGGATTGAGATGGGCTTCCGGTTCAAGATTGTGAACTAAACACACATGTACTTCCCTTTCCACCCAGAGTTCCACTGAAATGACAGTAAGTAAGAGCAGGAGGGGGACTAAATACCAGCACCAAGAATGAGAAGGAGAGGCCATCACTAGATCAGAATTTCTGATGAGTTTCTCACTGAGACCTAGAGGATGCGCCTGTGCTGGGGTCTAAGGTACGAGGAAGCTGCATCTCTGACAACACACAGGAAAGGACTGCAGTAAGGAATCCAGGGAATTCCAAGCTCAAAGCTGGCAGAGATGCTGAGTAGGGGTTACTGGTTATAAACTGCAGTCTGGAGGTCGACCAGACTCCAGAATAGCAGGGCCCCCTGCCTTGTCCTCATCAGCCCTGGGAAAGCAGCATTTATCCCAAAGCTGAAACCCAGACCTCAACTCTAAAGAAATTTTAAAACCCGCCTGGAGGGCTTCCGTGGTGGCACAGTGGTTAGGAATCCACCTGCCAATGCAGGGGACACGGGTTTGAGCCCTGGTCCGGGAAGATCTCACATGCCGCAGAGCAACTAAGCCCATGCGCCACAACTACTGAGCCTGCGCTCTAGAGCCCTCGAGCCACAACTACTGAGCCCTTGAGCCACAGCTACTGAAGCCTGCGGGCCTAGAACCTGTGCTCCGCAACAAGAGAAGCCACCGCAATGAGACGCCCACGCACCGCAACGAAGAGTAGCCCCCGCTCGCCACACCTAGAGAAAGCCCGTGCGCAGCAAAGAAGACCCAACGCAGCCATTAAATATTTAAAAAGAACAAAAAAACCTGCCTGGAGACAGCACCCAGTCCCAGTGCGGTGCTGACAACTTAGAGTAAGACCTTACTCCTGGCCTCTGGGTGGCCCCCGCACTGCCTGTTTGCTCCTTGCACAGCACCTTAAAGTGAAGCCCACCTATATCGGGCACTGATGGAGAGAGCCTCTCCTGCAAAGGAAAGATCCTTTGGTTAAACAGACTTACATGGTGGCACAGAAAACACGCCAGCTTCCTCAAATTAACCTCTTAATTAACCTACAAACAACCAAGGATTACTCAATATTGAAAAAGTAAAACTAAGAGCATCAAGATGAACACACACTACAAACAATCCTAGAGAATTTTTTTTAAAAAAAAGCTCTAATACATATTCTCAGAGACATTCAAGTAGATACTGCACTCATTAAAAAAAAAATTCAGGCTGCTTTAAAAAAAGGAGAAAATAAATATTCTGGAAAATTAAATATATACTTGTTAAAATAAAAGAAAGGCTGGAAGGAAACGTCACAGAACTCTAGTTTAAAAGGTGAAAAATATGAAGGAAAAGTTAAAGACACAAAGACAATAATCCATCATCTGTCAAACAGTAATTCCAGAAAGAGAACAGAAAAAAATGTGAAAGGGGGAAATGAAAAATTATAAAAATAGAATCACAGAAGAAAATTTTCCAGAGTGGAAAACATATCAGTCTTCTGACTGAAAGGTCACACCGAGTGCCCAACAAAAATTTTAAAAGACCTACACCCAGACACATCCTCAACAAATTTTAGAAAAACCAAGTACAAATAGAAGATAAAATCTTCCAGAGAGAGAAAAAAGAGATTTCTTACAAACGAATGAGAATTGATTTGTTATTAAACTTTTCATCAATGGCATTTGATGTTATGAGACAAAGGACCAATGCCTTTAAAATTGTGAGAGAAATGGAATATTATTCAGCCTTAAAAAGGAAATTGTGACACCTGCTCCAACATGGATGAACCTGGGAGAGGTCATGCTCAGTGAAATAAGCTGTACGTCAGTGATTTCCAAATATTTTTCGCCTTTGGGCTTCGAAGATCACTTAACATCTCTCCTGAATGTATCCCAGCCATCTCAAACCAATGCTGCCAAAGGAGAACTAATTCCTTCCCACCCTGAAGCATCCCCAACTCTGTAAATGCCAACACCATCCATCCAGTCCTTCAAGTCAAAAGCCTAAGAGCCCGTGGTTAAGAGCATACACTCTGGAGCCAACTGGGTCACCGTACAACTCCAGCATTTATACTTACTGACTGTATGAGCTTGGGCAAGTTAGGAGTCTTATTAAAGTAACTAAAGCAGTTACAACAGTAAGTGCTCAGTAAATTATCACAGTTAATTTACAGCTCTTGTTCTTAATTCCTCATTCCCTAATTCCCATTAGTAAGTCCTACCGTCAATTTTACCATCAAAACAGCCTGAATCTGTCCACTTGTCTCCATCTCCACTGCTGCCACCCTCACTCAAGCCACTCTCGGCCCTCCTACTATTACATCTGCCTTATTGTTTTCTCCCTGCTTCTGTTCTTACCCCCATGACCCATTCGGCCCAGAGCGGCCAAAGAGATTCTTTCAAAATACAGACCAGATATAACTCCTCCGCTAAAAAATCCCCCAATCTTCCCATTACACCCAAGTTAAAGTCCACATTCCTTACCTCGGTCTCCAATGCCCTATGTCAGTGGTTCACAACCGTAGTTGCATATTAGAATTATCTATGGAGTTTTAAGATTAATGATTAGGCCCCATCCTGAACCTGTTAAGTCAGAACCTCTAGATGTGATGCCCATCAAAATTTTAAAAGCCCCCCAGGTGATTCCTGTACAGCTAGGGCTGAAAAACTGCCCTAAATGAGCTGCCCCCTGCTTCTCGAGCCGTGCTCCACTTACTCACTGCACAACAGCCACCTGGTCCTTTTCCTTCCCCTCAGTGTTTCAAGTTTGTTTGTGCCTTTGGGACATTGCACCAGGTATTCTTTACACCTGGGAAGCTCTTCCTCAGATCTTCTCCCAGTAGGTTCCTTCCTGTCATTTAGTGTCAGCCTAAAAATTAGCTACTTTATGAGACCTTCTGTGACATCCAATCTAAAAAATAAATCACCAGATAGCACTTTTATTTTTATCAAAGTACTTAAATGGATTTATTTTGTTTGTTTGTATTATCTTTCCCCCTAAAATTTAAGCTCCAGGGGAGCTTGCAAGAATTGTTCACTGCTGTGCCTTCAGGAAGTAGATATCAAGCAAATACTAAGTGTTCAAGAAGTATTTGTTGAATGAATGAATAAATAAACGGGCATGTTTGGAAACTAGCTGCCTCGAGGCTGTCTTCCATAGCTCAAGAATGATGTTTATTTCCTGTTGTTTTAGGGACTATTCCCTTCAGAAAGGCCGGGCCCTAGCACTGTGGCGCACTCTGTAAAGGATGCGGAAGGACAGGATCCATGTGGATGCTAGACCCACAGACAGCCCCAAACCTTATATTAACCACTTAACTCCACATCCCTTCCTCTGTCCTCCTCTAACCTTTTTTCTTTTACCAGAATTGCCAACAAATTCAGATTGACTGATTTAAATAATATTTACTTTTGTTTCCAACCAAGACTGTAGCAGACAGGTTAATAAGAAAAAAGTGACTTGGGGGTAATGGGCGGGAGAAAGCAAAAGAGAAAAAAATCCATCTGCCGGATAGCCAACTTTGGATTGGGAAGAGTTTTCCAATCTGAAGTTTGATGCTTCACGTGATCACTAAATTGAACATGGAATGCTTCCAAAATAGATAAAACACAAAACAACTTCTTGGTTCCTTCAGCCAAACTGATTGACCAAGACTACCCCTTGCTAATAGTCTAAGGTCTAGTGGTAGCACTTTGCACGCAGAAGTGGAGGTATTACCTTTGGGATATCTCCTTTAATACCGGGGGGCAGCCGCAGGATCCAGAAGTTCCTGTTCCTCAGCAGGTTCTCCAAGTTCTCCAGACGCCTCTGCAGCAGCCCGTACTCCTGCAGCAGGGTCCCCAGCACCGCCCACTTGCCCTCCAGCTGGTTCCCGAGATCAGCCACTGTCTTTTCGCAGCTGGCCAGCTTCTTCTCGGCCGTCCTGCAGCAGCCGTACTCCTGCAGCAGGGTCCCCAGCACCGCCCACTTGCCCTCCAGCTGGTTCCCGAGATCAGCCACTGTCTTTTCGCAGCTGGCCAGCTTCTTCTCGGCCGTCCCTGTCCGTCCTTCCAGGTGCAGGAGTCGCCGGCTGTGGACCTCCACCTTTCTCTCGATAGCCTGCACGGCCGCCACCACTGTCCACAAGGAGATGGCCGCAGTCTGCAGGTGTGCTTCATTTGCTGCTGGGGGTGTGGGAAGAGGAAGCGCCTGCAGGGACGTAAGGCATTCGGAGTCCCATTCAGAAGTCTGTGTGCAGTGGAGAGAGGAGACGAGACATTGAGTGTTAGAAGGAGCCCTAATCCGAACTAAAATGAGATAAGTGCTGCTTGAGTGGCCAGCGGAGATTAATCTAAATATAGTATTAGTAGTGCCTGCATAAGCCTCATCTTTATGGAGCTCATTGACATCAAAAGCCAAGAGAATTGCTTTGGTGGTTGAGGGATGGAGTAGGTAAGACAGTGAACAGGTGAAACTGGATCAAGAAGCAGCCTGGCACAGAGCCAGTCACCCAGAGGCCAGGTTGCTGCTGCATCCTCTGTCTCTGGAAAAGCTCTAAGTGCATCAGGATCTTTCCAGGTTTCAGCGAGCTTGGTGCCCTTCTGATAAACCCCTTAATTACTGACTTAGGCTCCGGCCCCATCCATCACCCTGCTGACAAGCCACAACCATATCATTCAGTAGTAGCTGAATAAGCTGAGAATGTTGAGTGTGAAGAAAGCATGACAGCTATTTTCAAATATTTGAGGGTTATAAAACAGGAGGCAGGACATACTTGTTACACTATACTGTGTTACTCCAGAGGGCCGAACTAGCACCAACATGAAATTTTCAGGAACGTAAACTCTGGCCTATTTGAACTAGATCTTTCCAAGAACATAACAGGCTGCCTCCTCACTGAGCATACCTTGGAACAAAGAGTGTACAGAAAATGAAACTCCTACAAGAAACAGGAGGTTGGATGAGGATGACCTCTGCAAAGCCTTCTGACTCTATGAGTTTGATAACCGGCTCTTTGGCCGCAACCTCCGGTCTCTGCAGCTCTCCCACTACCTTTTTATCCTTTTACCTGCTCCTCAATCCCACTGAACCCCTGACCGTTCCATTTGCTCCTGGTTTACCGGCCTGCTCCGGGCTTTGCTTTCTTCCTTAGCTGATCATTTCAGCTAACTTCAACCCCTTCACTCGTCTGCCTTTCTGCCTCACCTGCTCGGCTAACCCCCGGCTTTGAATCAGTTCAATTGTTCTCATTCTCTGTTCCTGGAAGCAGGCTGGGAAGCCCTACGAAATGAAGTCATACAACCAGGTAAACTGGTGTCACCACACACCCACGGTCTCTAAGCTCAGCAGGGACTCAGCACTGCCCTGCGCCCCACGTTCCGCTTCCCATTCCACAGCGTGGCCACCACAAGCCCCTGGCCCTCTCCAGCTTTTAGTACAGCGCTTCTCAAACTAATGAGCCTCAGCATCATCTGGAGGTCCTGCTAAAACGCAAGACTCTGATTCAGTAGGTCGGGGAGGAAAACTGGGAGTTTGCATTGAAAACAAGGTGATGTTGCTGTTGCGGCTTCAGGCAGCGCAGGCTGAGCGGGAAGACTCCGGTCCGCTGCGGGCGCCTCACTCTCAGGAGATGACACGGCCTACTACTTTGAGAAGAGGGTTAGCATTATTAGACCTCAACTCTCTCAACGTTCTCCTCTTTCTTTTCTTTTTCTTCACCCTCCTTCCCACTTCAAACTCATCAGTAGCTTAGTCCATGCTTTCTTCTTTCCTTCCCTCAGGAAAAAGGTTCATCCTATTTAAAATGAATCTCTCCACTTTATGCTCTGAATGCCACCTCCTTCCACATTTTTAGGTACACGAATCTTTTCTCTTGTTTATGGTCAATGTTTCGATCTCTCCTGGGTCTTCTCCATGGGACAGACCTGCACTGTTCAATATGGTAGCCACATGTGGCTACTGGACACTTGAGATGCATTTATTTTCATTGAGATGTGCCATGAGTAAAAAATACACACCAGATTTTGAAGACTGAGTATGGGGAGAAAATGTAAAACTTCATCGATAATTTCTTAATACTAATCACACACTGAAATATTTTGTAAGCCTTGGGTTAAATAGAACATATCATTAAAGTTCATTTCATCAATTTCTCTTTACTTCTAAAATGTGACTACTGGGAATTCCCTAGCATCCAGTGGTTAGGACTCCGCGCTTTCACTGCCAAGGGCTCAGCAGGCCACCGGGAATGAATGAATGAATGAATGAATAAATAAATAAATAAAATGTGACTGCTAGAAAATTTAAGGTTATGTACATGGCTTCTATGATGTTTCTATTGGACAGGGCTGGCATATAGACACATGATCATCTCTACCACATTGAAAAACAAGATCCAAAAGGAAAAAATAGGTCTGAGGGCACAGATGACATTCCCTCTGCTCGATCCCCCACCCCCACTGCTGCTGCTCCCTTTTTCCTCCTCTTCTCCCCCCGCCCCTCACTTTCGGGTCACTACTCTGGAGGCCAGTCTGGCTCCTGATCCACTACAATGACTCTCTTTGGGGTGAGCAGAGGCTTCTCAGCTGGCAAATCCAAGGCATCGTTTCCGGTCCTGTTACTTGACTAGTCCCTGCTGGTTCTGCACGGCTCTTGTGTGCAGCGACTGTCTTGGTCAGCTCTGCAGGCTTAGCAACTGACGGAGCGGGCTTGGCACGCGGCAGGTCTGCAGTAAACATCCGCGTATCGAATAAAACACGCAGAAGGTAATCCCTCCCTCTGAACCTGCACCACTCGTTCACTCTGCAATCCCGACGGAGGGCCTCCTGCGTGTCCGGCATCGTCACGGGCTGGGCACTGGGGATCCCTGTCCTCCGGCGGTCCTTCAACACACCTAAGTGTTGCCGTCACCACGGCATCTGTGGCTGCGCGAGGCTCACGGAGGCGGCCAAGAGGGTGACTGTGGGGTCGGCTCCCAGGGCTGGAGAATGGCTGATGAAAACCCCAAACCAAGCCAACCCCACTGCCCCGCGTCCGGCAGGCAGGAGCGAGGCTGGAACCAGGCGAGGATCGCTGCACTCATTCCTCTTCCATTGGTGTAAGAGGCTCTCTCCACTGGAAACCTCCAAACGGGATGGGCGAGCCGGGGCCTCACACCCAGGCGCAGGGACCCAACGATGGGGGAGGGCGAGCTGTCCCAGACCCGCGCTCGGCGTTGGGGTCCCCCCCAGGCCCCTCCCTTGCCGGCGGGACGCCGGTGGGTGTCTGGGCTCGGCCGTCCGGGCTGCGCCCCGCTCCGGGGCCCCGAGCCTGACAGGCCGGGCTCCCCGCCCTCCTCCCTTCCCTCGGGTCCGACCGCAGAGCCCTAGGCGCCCCGACCCTCCCGGGCTCACTGCGCTCAGCGCGCAGGCCGCCCTTACCGGAGCCGGGGCTGCCTCGGCCATGGTCCTGCGCTGTCCGGCCCGGGCCGGAGTCGCCGCCGCTACCGCCGCCTCCGCGCTGCCCCACGCAGGCCACCCCCCGGCCTCTCCGTAGGCGGCGCCCGCCCGGCCCTGCCTTCCCGGCCGGTGGAGCTCAGGTGGCGGGCAGGCTCAGCCGCGCTCAGCCCGCAGCGGCCCCTCAGCTGGCGCTTTGTGGGCACTGAGCGCACCCCGGGGACCGCTCGGGCCTAGACGCGCCGCCCGCCCGCCGCGGCAGCGCGCCCCCTGCCGGCCCCGGCGGCCACTTGCGCCCCACCGGCTGGCCGGGCTTCGCTCGGCTCCGCTCGCGAACGGTTTGTTGAACGGAACTAAGTGGGTCTTGTTTTCTCACAAACCCCGAGAGTGCTCAACAGATTGGTGCTTAGGGCCCAGCCACAAACCAGGGCTCATTCTGGGAAGTGTTTTTCTTCCTGGAGGCCCAATCAGCAGGCCCCGTCTGAAGGGAGGCGCCAGAGGGAGGGCAGTCCGATGCAGGAAGGTGGAAATGGGCGGAGTGCGAGGGCCAGGTGCCGGACAGGGAATAGGGAGACAGTGGGTTAGGATCAGAGACCATGAGGCACAGAAATGTGATGAATACGACGTTCATCACTTGCAGAAATTGCAAATGTGGCTCCCAAGGGGAAGCGGTTCACATCCCACGTGGCCAGTGTTAGGACCAAAACTACAGTCGTTCTTATATCTCGGATTATTGAAGTTGGGGTTTGCTGGGTCTGTGCTAACGGACAGCAAAGAACCAAGTGCTATCTACGGAGGTTGTGTATCTAAGGCTGACAGAGCGTATGTTACAGTAAGACAACCACATAACCCTGAGTTTCCAGCAAGGCCCTCCTTTCAAACAGGCTGAACGTGACCCAAAGTCCTCGCAAACCTGTATTTCAGCAAATGAATCGTCAATGCCCATAACAGTTAAAGAAGCTATAAATCACAAAAGTATGAGAACCGTCCTGTTGGGCCTGCTCTTGAGCCTACTAAGCTATTTTTAGACTGTAGCTACACCTGCAGTATGTAATTTGAGGTCTACCTCAAATTAATATATATTTTGGTCAAATGGTGAATGATGGTAAAAAACTGTCATTGTAAAGCAATTACACTCCAATAAAGATGTTAAAAAAATTTCTATTCTCTGAATCAGAATATCACCATAATCAAATTAACTTCTAGAAAAGAGGGGGGAAATCTGAATTTTCTTGGAAAGGAAATTCATTTTTGTAATTTTATTATTAAAAATGTAGTAATTAAAACTTTAAAAAATTTAAAGTTTGAACTTATAAGGCAAGAACAGCAACTGCTGGACACTCCTATGACCATTAAATAGAAACAATTGTATTACTAAATAAGATACTTTCAACTGAGCTTCTTGGGGCATAGGTCTAGTTCTGCCAGTATAATATGGTAACATTACCATTAAATATTCTTTCTTCTAATAGGAGCTTATTAAGGTAAAGATTTTCTCTTTTTTAATTCTTAGCCTTGAAAATTTGGGGGGATGGTGATAGCATTTCATCGAAGCAATTTCGCTGACTGAAGTTTTGTGCACTGTTTCAAGAAAATACATATTTTCAGAAGCAGATTTAAGATGGCCATCCTCATATTTTTAATTTCTAATTCCTTTTTTAAATATCTTTTTACTTTATTTTATTTTAAATTTTTGGCTGCATTGGGTCTTCGTTGCTATGCATGGGCTTTCTCTAGTTGCTGCAAGAGGGGGCTACTCTTCCTTGCAGTACGTGGGCTTCTCATTGTGGTGGCTTCTCTTGTTGCGGAGCACGGGGCTCCAGTAACTGTGGCGCACAGGCTTAGTTGCTCCGCGGCATGTAGGATCTTCCCGGACCAGAGGGCGAACCTGTGTCGCCTGCATTGGCAGGCGGATTCTTAACCACTGCGCCACCAGGGGAGTCCCTAATTTCTAATTTCGAATATTTTAGCCTGTTCTTGCCACTATACATACTCACTGGAGAAAAATTTGTTCTTAAACTTCGGATCTAGAAATGGGACAATGGAGCAATTTAACTGGTTTTCAAGTTAAGAAAATAATTGAAGTTTCCATCTGCATCTTGGCTTTCCTTGTATGCACATCAATTTCAGCATCTTCCTTAGAGTAGAATCAAAAGGAAATCTTTTTTCAGCAGCAATGATGTAGGAAACACTTGCATTCTCAAGGCACATCAATTTATTCAGCAAGTTCCAGCAAACAAACTGCTTTCCATGCAAATCACCATTGGTTATTAGTAAGTCTTGCTACGTTGGTAACGTTCTCTGGAAAATACAGAATTAAGGCCTTCTTTATTCTATAAGCCTTTGACGGATGTAATAGCTGTTGTTCTATCTTGTTTAAATATTTTGCATATGTACACGACAAGACAATTTCAAAGGTTCTTGTTTAACAAAATTTGTTATTGGTTGAAGAAAAATTGTGGAACTAGCCTACAATCTTTCTGCTTGAAGCCACTCATTTTCTATTACATCTTTTTAAGCTATAACCATTTTCTGAATATAGAACTGAAGGGAGTAAACAAATTATATGCTTGTACCCATAGCCTTTACCATATTTTTTCTGTAGTCAATAATTTTGTGCATTTCTCTTTACAGATTTTACATTCCATAAATGTTTCTCAAAGTCAAATTCACTATGTGTGTGAGACCCGGGAATTGTTCATCAAGTAAGGAAAGAGGAAACATAGTTGAATTATTCATTAATCCTCTATGTTGTCAAACCTAAAAAAAGTAAGGTTGATTCTTCATGTCCAAATGTCACACATACCATATACGTACTGTGGTAGCATATTTCATAATTTCAATACCTTTTTGTGTACAACAAAATATAAATCAGGAAAAAGTTTTTAGGAATGTTTTCTAAAATAAATCAATATTTAGAATTCATAGCTTGGGCAAATCTAAAAAAATCCTTTCTCTTCAACAGCTTAAAATGGTTATCAGTCTACAGTAATTATTTCTACAAGCTTTAAAAAATATTACCCTTCACAGATCCCAAAGCACAAGGCATTGTCTAATTAAAAGCATTCTTGTAAAGTCCGTTGTTTAGAGAGAAGAAATGTATTTTGGGTGTCTCATTTTATCTCCTTTCTCCTTTTTCTCCAGGCTCCCTCTCTATTTTTAATCATGTCTCAATCAAAGATGATTAATCATATATGTCTTGTACATGACTTTTTTTTGTCCTTGTGAAATTTTGAGGTAGCCATGTTGACATTCTGCATTTAATTTCACCCTCCTAATATGTGAAAAATTACCAAATAGGGCTTTTTCTTTTTTAGGATTAACAGACCAAATGGAATTTAATTAAACATTAGTTTCTAAAGATTACTTAGTGTTATGAATGCAATTGCACCAAATAATTCTACAGTAATTAGAATTGTGATACAATCTAATCTTTGTTAGTTTTGCCCTGTGGTCATATTTATATTTTTATGAACATCTGTAGGTTCAAAAAGGATATATATATTTTTTAAGTTATCTGGATGACATTCTCTCAATATTCACATTAACTGTTGATATTTAACTATCTGAAAGTTCTCATTTATTACATAAAATCAGCACCTTTCATAATCCTCAATAATTATTGTAGCATTTTACTTTTGCAATATTAAAAATACATTCATATATACCTCAATTGTTAGCATTTCAACATATAAAGCACATCATCGGATTTTGCACTTCTAGTTACATCTAGAATTTCAAGTATTTAAATTTGAGAGCAGATATTCATATACTAACAATGACTGATATGCCATGTTCTTTTAAAATTACGTTTTATTGTAGTATAGTTGCTTTACAATGTTGTATTAGTTTCTGCTGTACAGCAAAGTGAATCAGTTATACCTATACATATATCCACTTTTTTTAGGTTTCCTTCCCATTTAGGTCACCACAGAGCAATGAGTAGAGTTCCCTGTGTTATACAGTAGGTTCTCATTAGTTATCTATTTTATACATAGTAGTGTATATATGTCAATCCCAATCTCTCAGTTGGTCCCATCCCCGCCTTCCCCCTTGGTAACTAAGTTTTTTCTCCACATCTGTGACTCTATTTCTGCTTTGCAAATAAGTTCATCTGTACCATTTTTCTAGATTCCACATGTAAGTGATAGTATACAATATTTGTTTTTCTCCTTCTGACTTACTTCACTCTGTAGGACAGTCTCTAGGTCCATGACATGCCATGTTTATGTTACTGAAGATTGATGCACTGATGGGATATGATGGAAATCTACCCAACAGCACAGTCTTACTCATGTACAAGTTTAAGGATGCCAGAAATGGCATTGAGTAAGCATTCAACTATTCCACTTTGCAGGGGCCAAGGCTGAACACCACAGCTGAACAGCAGAATTTGGCCAAACACTGAACTTGAAGCCAAATAGAAAATAGTGCACCCGCAGTACATGTGCACGTAGTTCTCGTCTGGGCATATGTGAAAGGCCTGGCAGTTGTGCAGTGACCAGATTACTGTGATTGTAGATGGAAATTTCCAAGTCTATTATCCATCTCGATTGGAAGTATGGATGTTATTTTTTATTTAAATATTTTTATATGATATAAATAGGTTGAAAATATTTTCTATTTTTACTACCAATGGTTACCAGAATTCTGAAGCTGACGCCTTTACTTTTTCATTTTGTCTTTCTCCATTCACGTTTATTATTCTTTTTCTGTGCTTTGCAGAATATTTGAAGTATACAGCGATTATAAAGAAGACAAAAGCCACCTATAACTGCACTATTCAGAGATAATCACTCAGCATTTTGGTGTCTATCCTTCCAGGCCTCTTTCTTCTATGTATATTTGTTTGTTTGTTTAACATAGTTGGAACCATAAGTACTGTTTTGCAAGCTGCCTTTATTACTGAATACACTTGAATATCTTCCCTAGCATTAAATATTCTTCTAAAACATAAATGAAATGTTTACATATTACTTCACTGTACAGGTGTTTAATAATTTATTTATACATGTAGGTTCTAATTTTTACCACAACATAAATTTAAGATGATTCTGCTTATAATTTTTATAAGCTTTTTTGATTGTTTTCTTAGA